CTCACAGAATCCCTTCCAGTTGGGTCAGACTCTCTGAGCTAATAGTATGGGAAATAATGAGTTAAAGTCCTGGAGATATTTCTGTCCTCACTGTATGACAAAGTTTGTGTCAGCAAACAAGTTGGGGATATTTTCTTTCTGCCACTTCAACAATTTTACTGAAAATATGATCTTTCTGCTTCTCCATCACTTACACTAGAAGATATGATGACCTCTGCACTATTTTTACACTGATGGTTCTGTCTGTTCTTAGATTTTCTCCTGTTACTCATCAAATGCCAGAAAGAAGAGGTGCTGATTTCTTAACATCTGGACATAAAGCTCTAGCAACTAAATGTATAGGGCAAATTTAATTAACACATTTGAAAGGAGTTAATGATAGATAGCTACACATTAAATATAATACAATATGATCATGTAATCAGCAACATGTTACAATGATTTTGGGAAAATTATTTTCTGTTATGTGCAGAGTCCATTTTAATGGTTCTGTGGTAGCGTTATTGTATTTCTTCATATAGTTTCCTTGAAATATGTGAAATTATATATCTCCCCTTTCAACTCTGAAAAGTGGGGAGGGACAGGAAGAACAGATGATTAGGCCTCAAAAGTACTGTTTATCTCCTTGTCAAAGATAAAAAGGAGCAAGGTTAAAATAAGCAAGTCAAATAGAGCCAGCACATTGTGACAACGGAACACCACTTAACTAAACATTTTCATCTTCTGCCGCAAAATATCAGCTTTGTTTAGAAAGTACAGCAAAACTTACTGAAAGGCCGACAGCCCGTCTCCACGCTGTCTGCCTTACTGCTGGCCCGCAGGTATCACAATTCTCAGACTCAGTTTTAAATGAAAAACAAAACAAAACAAAACATAAAATAGAATTAGGAAATCAGGAACAAAAAAGTCATGTACTGCATGTTTAATGTCTCATTTAACTTTACTTGTACACATCCGATAGCTCAGTTTGGTTACCACAACAGTGAGATTTCTTGAAATCTAATTCACATCCTTTCTCTCCTTCTTTCCCCCCAATTCAGGTGTCAACTATATAAAACCTATTTCTAAGTTGTCAGTGCTCTACCTCTACAGGAAGGACGTACAACTACTAGATTCTCAGACATCTCATGATTAGAGTAGGAGAAACTAGAGTAATTAACATGCTGATTAGGATCTCTCTGACAGCTGACTTTCAAAAATATCCAGTTACTAAGTTTGAATCAACCTTGGAAATGTCCTAGATGTGACATAAGCAGAGGCTGGTAGCCGCAGCTCACATCTCTCAGATGGAGCAAAGCCTCTTCAACCCACAGACTGTGTACATTTTACCAATAAGGCATCTCTTACCACAGAAAGCCAGTTTTTTTCTAGAAGAGTAATTTCACTATTTCTTATAGTTAAAGAAGTTTTCAGGGATCCTGACTCAAATATCGATGAATTGTTTCACAGAACAAAGTTCATAATTCCAGTCCAATCATTTCTGAGCGGGCTAAATCTAACGAGTCAAATTGACAACATGTCTTTTGCACTCCGCAGGTCCTTCTGTACATTAACTTTATTGTTTAATATTATCGTTACATTATTTTTGTTTTGTTTTCTTTGCATGTCTTTATCCCACTGTACTACAAAACTTCTAGAAGCCAATTCAAGTATTTTTAGAACAGGCAGGATATAAATTTAAAGTCACATTTATAAAATAAATTTAAAATACTAAACCCTTGTCATTTGGGTTACAGGTCCCATTGTTCCCGAACACACACCTCTGGGAGTAGGTTTAATAAATATGATCTATGTGCCTACCATGTGTCTGTCACTGCTCCTGGAGCAGAAGGAAACACTGGTGGAGAGCTTGTCAGTCAGTGCCATGTACCACACAGAAAAATAAAGCAGAGAAGGGACTCGAATAGGGATCCCATATAGTTCGGTTACAATTTATGTATTTATTTATTTATTTATTTATTTATTTTCTGGTACCTGGAATTGAACTCATGACCTTGCGCTTGCCAAGCAGGCGCTGTGCCGCTGAGCTAAATCCCCAGCCCCAGTTTGGTTACAATTTAAAATAAGATAGTCAGAAAGGGCCTCATTGACAAGGTGACATAGCGTAACCGGAAGGGCATGAAGATGAAGGATTAAACCATACAGACACCTAACACAAGCGAATTCTGGGCATGGGGAGCATCAAACACAAAGGTCCTGAGGCAGAAGAAAGCCTGGTATTTCCAATGGCTAAGAGATCGGCATGGATGAGTCAGTTTGTCAGGTGACAGGGACAGGGAGGGCACAGGCAGATCTGGGAAGCTTGTGAGAGAGGACTGTGAAGCCTCTGGCTTATCCTTGATTAACAAAGCCACTGGAGGGTTGCAAACAAAGGAAATAAACAACTTAGAGAAACTACAGTACTGAAATATCTGAATGAAGACTACTATCTGTGGGAAGAATTAGTTGACAAATATTTACTGAATCCCTCCTATTTGCTAAATATTTTCCTAAGCACTGGGCATATAATGGTTGATAAAACACATACCAGTGCTTGTCCTCATTGAAGGTGTAGGCTGGTGGGTAAGATTAACAAATGATTAAGCAAATAATTAGAACTACGCTACCTGTGGGGGAAACTGGGTGATTTGTTAAAGAATGACAAGAAGGGGAAGTTCGATCTAGTCTGGGGTGTGGCAAAGGCTTCTTTGAAGGAATCTTGAAAACGAAATTAATAGTATAAGTAGGAATGAGTTAAGTGAAGATGCTAAGAGGAACATTCCAAGCAGACAACATCTGCAAAAGCCCTGAAGAAAAAAATAAATTGGCATCTTTAGGAAACTGGAAGGCCATTGTGGTTGGAGCTTAGTGGACAGAGAAGAATGAATAAATATTCTGAGTAGTGCTGGGGATATAACTCAGCAGCACAGCACCTGTCTGGCAAGTCCAAGGTCCTGAGATTGAGTCCCAGTACCAAAAAAAATTTTTTTTGAGTTGAATTCTAAGGGCAATAACATTTCAACAGTTTAGATCAGGGGACCAAAAAGATTAGACTTGTATTTCTTTTAATAGAGTTGCTAGTATTCTAAAAGCAATGAGACTAAAGGAAGGAAAAGTAAAATCTAGAGATTGCAGAAGTTCACGGAAAGAGGACAGCAGAAAAAAGATAGTAAGGGGAACAAAGATTTAAAGATGTTTAGGAGGAAACTAATTTGATGATTAGATTCATGATGGTTGAAAAATAAGGTCAAGGATGGCTCGTTAAATTACTTTTCCTGAACTTTTTTGTAAGTAGGTTCTACTTTCTACATGAAGTAGTAAATGTCAGTATATTTTTGGTGTGTGTATGTAGTAGATGTAGGAACATCTAAAAGTCAATCATATATGGTAAAAGCCTTTATGACATACACATAACAGCCTAAATTTGTACTATCTATGCAGTTTGTTCTGTCTCTGCCAGTGTAAAAAGGTTGACCATGACTATTCAGGAGAAAAGAAGCAGCTGTATTCTACATTTTAAATCTCCTGATAAGTATTCACATTGTTAGAACTTATATATTTAATATTTACTTTTTAAGCAGAGAAAAATCAATTTTTATAATCTCCTATCAGAGTTTAAATAAGCAACCCCATGGCACAAAGTATAGTATCTTAGTACACTGAAGAACTAACAAAGTATTTCCTCATCAATGAATTGGAATGTATTAACCTTTTGAGAAAGAAACCATTCCCTCTCACTCAGGGATACAATAAAATTCATTTACTCTTAACCAATGATATCACCAAAGATGTAGAAAGCTATTTTGGGGAGAAAGTGTGTGAGTTAAGTCAGTGACTTATCTATCTTAAATCATTAAAGATAACTTTACTCATAGAAAGAGAAATTGAGACCATCAGACTGCCAATCATTTTTAACTCCATTCTCTATTGCCTCTTTTTACTTAGTCTTCAAGCAATGAATCTTTTTGTTTGCCACAAGGCCAGAAAGATAAAAGTAAAAAAAAAAAAAAATTAAACAGTAAAACATTTGATGCAATCTTTCCAGGAGTAGAGGCTGAACCAATCACCTAAACGCTCGAAACAGTCTGGCTGTCAGAAGAGGGCTGGGGATAATAGCTCAGCGGCACAAGCAAGGGCAAGGTCCTGAGTTTGATTCCTGGTACCAAAAATAAATAAATAAATAAGTAAACAGAAGAAATCATATTATAGCCTATTGGGTTTCTTCTATGAAATAAGAAATATTTCCCTTGCTGGGGATATAGCTCAGCGGAACAAGTGCCTGCCTGGCAAGCACAAGGTCCTGAGTTTAATTCCCAGTACAAAAAAAAAAAAATATTTCCCTTAAACTAAAAGTCAAGGGGCCAAGGATATAGCTCAGCAGCACAGCGCCTGCCTGACAAGTACAAAGTCATGAGTTCAATTCCCGGTACTCCCCCCAAAAATATATAAACTGAAAGTCAAATATTAACCATTAATTACTTTGTCACAAATAGTAGTACAAAGCTGAAAAAAAATCACCGAGACTCCTAAGAATCCAAATGCAAAGAAAGCCATTAGTACTAGAATTAGTTACGAAGGGCAATTGTGACTAAGAAAAAAAAAATGCATGTTATGTAATAACTAGCTACATACACATTTATATATGCACATAAACCTAAAACAATATTTATTCTTACTATGTGGCATACAATGTAAAATATCCTCTTCTTCCTTTCATTCAAATAAAAGTACATGTAGTAAAGGAATCTCCAAACAACTAATATGCCACCACTCTTAGCTCCTCTGCCTAGAGCATAATCAATCAATGCCACATTTATAATTTTAGAGAAATATACAGTTTTCTCCTCAGTATTAGCCTCTGATAGTATATTCTAAGTACTCAGAGAAAAAAATTTTCTTAAAAAATTAATATGATCTCATTTTCATGGAACCAGCTGAGACACGTGCTTTCACAGTGTTTAAATCCCCCATTTCCCCGGGGCCAAGGAAGAGGGAATGATTTGTACCTAGGTAACATGACCTAATGTCCGTATCACACATTTTATTAGTCTTTTTTATGTACATGATTTCACTGGATCCTCACAACAACCCTGTGAGGTAGGTGGGGAAAATGTAAGGCTCATTTTACAGATAATGAAGCTCTGGCTCAAGGAGGTGAAGTAGCTTTTCCTGGCTCTCGTGCAGCTAGTTAAGAAGTGGTGGTGGAGGGGCTGGGGATGCAGCTCGGTGGCGCAGCGCCTGCCTGGCACACAAGGTCCTGAGTTTGAGTCCCGGCACCCCCTGCCGCCAAAATAAAAAAAAGTGGTGGTGGAGACAGAAGAACCTTCTGCTTTTAGGTTGTGGCTCTTTTCTCTAGACCATATAGTTTCTGAAAGTGTAATTTAACCTCAAAAACGCATACTTTAAATATACAAAAATATAAGCTACACTAATGTTATTAATATATAAATATATTTGTTAATATATAATTTATATATAAATATAAATTAATATACTAAACTATATAACATTTTAAATATTTTATTTAGCTGAAAATTCAACCCAGGGCTTTATACATGCTAAACATGCATTCCAATCTCATATGTGTTAAAAACTTAATCTTCATTTTTATATTACTGATCTAAAACTTTTCTAAAAAATAACAAAAGACGTAATTCCAAACTTATCCCACCAAGTTTATGCTTCTCTGCCAATAAAACTTACGGCCACAGGGGCTGGGGATTTAGCTCAGCGGCAAAGCGCCTGCCTGGCAAGCGCAAGGTCGTGAGTTCGGTTCCCGGTACCGGAGAAAAACCAAACCAAAACAAAACTGACGGCCACAGAACATACGTTTCTTTAGTTCCTGTCTAAAGAAACATAAGCGATAGGAAGGTCCCTAGTGGCCAAGAAAATTGAAGGGAAGTTAGAGGAAGGGCTACTAAAAACTGTATTCTTGGATTTTATTCTCTTTCGGCTTTTGCTTTGTGAGAGAGTTCAGTGGAGAACTTTAAGGAAGATGACACTTGAAGCCTCTGACGAGGATCTAAGTCTTGCTGAGGTTACTCTCACTCAACTCTTGAATGCACAGTGACGCTGGTCTTCAAAATCTCGGCACTTGATGCTTGAAAACAAAACACAGAAAAATTCCACTAGCAAGTCTAATAATTTTTTTTCAAAAAGGGAAGTTAAAAAGTTCTTTGCTCAATAATTAATCAGACTGCTAGATACCATGCTAAAAGAACAGGAAGAAGAAAAAGGTTTTGAAAAGATAGGCAAAATACATTCATTGGCTTATATTCTTCACTACAAACTGCAACAGAATCCAAAGTTCTTACAGAACCACTAAGCATCTGTAGTCAAAGAAAGCGATCTAAGGAAAATTCTTGAATCTCTTTGCTGCCTCTCCAAGACATCTGATTGTCTTAAATTGAGCTTCTGAGGGCTGGTCTTTATGTGTATGTGTGTGTGGGGGGGTGTTGGGACTTGAACCCAGGGCCTTGTACATGCAAGGCAAGAACTCTACCACTGAGCCACGTCCCCAGCCCTGCTTTTGAGGTCTGAAAGCACGGCTGAAATATTTGTTAGAAGAAAGCATAAGATGAAACCAACTTTGGGAAGTAGAGAAAGGAACTGAAGATTATTATGGTCTGAAGATATTTTTCTGAGCATGGAGAAAAAGTAGCAAAGCCTTCAAGCAGAAAAACAGACCACTTTGCAAAGGTTCATATAAAAAACATATAGCAAAACATTATAAACATGTGCAGATATAATCAAGGGAAATTATATCCACCTGAAACTCCAGTTCTGTAAATAATTAGCAACAGCTGACGTCCCCAAGGGGATGCTAGCATCTGTTCTATCCCTTCCTCTTTGTTCTTGTTAGACAGAATTTTTAATTTCAATGACTTAATTTTGTACTTGTCACAACTGTTTCTTTTTACTTTACCTGCTCCTGCAAACCTTCCTTTTCTCCCAAGAAACCAATGAGCTCTTAAAAAATTAATAGCAGCTAGTAAGTATTTGCTGAGGCTTTCATTTGTGTCAGGCACTGCTCTCTGTACTTTATGCAGATTCATTCATTTAACCTTCACAGCAGCCCTATGAATTAGACACTAATATCACCCCCAATTTTTTAAGATGATGAAACTGAGGCACAGAAGAATTAAGAAATTCAGATAATTATCTAGCTAATAAAGACTGGAGCCAGGAATCAAACTCATGCCTTCTGGCTAAAAACCAGTTGTGTTACAAAACTGGTTTCAACATAAAATTTATCAGGACAAGGGTCGTTTGCTTTAATCAGCCATGTCACAATCTTTCCTTGCATATTCCAACGAAAAAGCACAATGACTAATTAAATACCCTAAGAGCAGTAACAAAGCTCTAGCAGTCACTGCTCAGGAGTGATACCCTACAGGAATGTCAAGGCAGGTTAGAATATAAAGCATGACATTAAAATACTAACAGTGATAGATTATAAGTGATTCTATTCCTTTTTTTGGCTTAGTTCCCCACCCTAGGATTAAACCCAGGGCCCCTTCCATGCCATGCATGCCTACTACCTTTAAGCTATACCCCAACCCCAGGTATTTCCTGTATCCTAATTTTTGTGAAGTGGACAAGAATTACTTGTATAATTTTTTAAGTGTGCCATCATTATTATTAACATTTATATTAAATTTACCCTAAAATTATTAGGTAAGTTTATTTTTTCCTCCATTTAAAGACCCAAAAAGTTCAGTGAAGAATAAGCTTTATGATAACGAAATAACAACAATAATAGCTACTATTTATTCAGGCAATTTATCTAGCTACTATTTATCTTGCCTAATATAGGCATGTTAGGACAGCTAGTAAATATTGGAACCCAGAATCAGAGCTGTCTACATGATGCTCAGGTCTGCTCTTTCCAGTGCAGTGCAGCCTGTCCAGACAGTTGCATAGCTTTTGTTATTAAGTACACAAAAGAAATTTTCAGGTATTCCTCCTTGTCTTCTATAGAAAATACAAAACAAATTATTTACATTCAGTCAGGGTTATCATTTTGGATATCTATTAACACAAAGTTGTTTCAAATAACCAAAAGGGCATAGGTTGCTACAATTTTAAAATTAGCTGGTCTCTTTTATAACTTCTTTCTTTTCTTTCCTGTTGATGTGCTTGCCTCTAAGGAGTACCTGAACCATTTACAGTTTGTTGCTTTTAATAGTCTGCAGTTAGATACCAGTTAATCAAGCTTGTTAGAACTGTGTCTAAAATAAAAGTACATACATCAAATAAGAATCTGAGAAAAGCAGGTAGATTTTATGTTTAATACTTTGAGGGAAGAGGTAATTTTTAGGTTTATATCCTGATTATGGATGAGGTGAAGTTAATGTGTAAGTGACCAGCAGGTAGATATAGGCTACTGCTAATTAAATATAGGAATAGTAGAAGGTAAACACATCTGTGATAAATCAGTTTATTACACTACAAAATGTTTTAGAAGTTGAAAAGAATCTTCAAAATAATCTAAATACTTTCTCATACAGTGAGAAATCCTCTCCCACAATATTCGTGACATTCAGATTTTCTTATGTAACCCTAATGACCCAGAGTTTACAGTCTCTCAACACAATCTGCTCAACTAGTGAGGAGTTCTATACCTTCTCCAACTCACAAATTAATTTTGGACTAAACAGAGAATAAATGTACTGCCTATGGAATTTCCCCAACATTTCTAAAATCTTCTGTTTTCTGGGAAAAAATAGTTCTAGGCCCCTCAGTCTAGATTATCACAGTTGTCCCTTTATTTAATCATGAAATTAATTGAAAATAGTTCTCTTATTCTTCAAAATTATATAGTAATGAAATTTGTACATTGTATGTTATTGTTTTATAGATTAATGGGGTCTATTAAATCAATGTTGGTTACATATAACTGGAAAGGTAAGAAAGGCTTTGGATCTAGTTCAATTAAAATTGAAGAGCAATAAAATTTTGAATTTTCTCCCTGCTCCAAGTGCATATGTCAGCAAACAGAATTTTAGATACCTGTAACTATAATTGTTTATGTTGCTAGATTTTCATTTCCTCATTCTAAGGGTTTTCTGCCTTCCTGTCACTTGGGCCTTGGCAATGATCTACTCTCACAATTCTGAATTAGCTCCAACAGACCCAGTTCTGAGGCCTTAAAATGCTAACTTTTTTTTTTCATTGCATTAACTACATAACTTCCTATCTGAAATTTCTGGTTTTCCAGGAAATTATATATATAAATATAATATAATGTGTCACATATCTATGTGCATGCACACACACACAGACAGGCACATTCCTCAATTCTATGTTCTCTAACTGTAACTTTTATATTCATGTTAATTTCCTTAATATATGTCATCCTTAACATATTCTAGCATCTTGATTCAGGAAAACTACCCCTTGGATTGAACTCCTCTATAGTCATTGTCTTAACAAGAAGAGTCCCATGGTAGGCATCCTTCTCAATGATTTCCCTTTTGTGGCCACAGTGATTAAATCCTTAAGAAAGCATCGTTTAACAGAGATGACGCTATGCAAAATATGCTGCTAAAGTATGGCACAAAGCATACATGCCTGCAGAGGCTGAGGCAGGAGGATGACTTAAGCCCAGGAGTTTGAGACTAACCTGGGCAGTACAGTGAAACCCCATTTCAAAAAAATAAAATAATGGCCAGGGCTGGGAGGTAGCTCAGTGGTAGAGCACTTGCACAGCAGGCAGGAGGCCCTGGGTTCTATGTCCAGTACTACAAAAGTAAATAAATACTTGATATAACCTGTTTTATTCCATTAAACATGATTTAGCCCCTATATTAGTGATCTGCATTATGATTTTACAAGATATACAACCAGTGATATAGAAGACCAGTGAAATAGAAGTATGTATCTTACATATGCTGGCCTCAACCAAGTTTCACATAAAATCCCTTTATTAATCAAACTAAGATTATATTTTTGTATTTCTTATATAATTCATGTTACTATCTATTACTATTATTCAAAATGTCCCACAATAAAGGTATGGGAAGATAAAAATACTTAGAGAAGTAAAAGTCACCATTTCTGCTATGTACAAGCAGATAATCAACCAATTCAAAGTAATAAAGAATGGCATTACCCAAGTATACCTCTCTAAATTATCTTTCCAGTTTACTGATTTTATTAACAGAGAACAAGCCATTGTTTAAAATGCCTTAATCCAGTTCTAAACATCAAGAACAATGTCAAATAGTAACAGCAAGACTTGTTTAAAGAATACAGAAGCCAAAGGTTTGCGATGTAGCTCAGTGGTAGAGTGCCTGCCTAGCTTATTCAAGACCCTGAGTTTGACTGCCAGCACCCCAAGAGAAAGAAACACAGAAGGAAAGGAGTGTGGAAGAAGGGAGGAAGAGAGAACAAAGGGGGAAGGGAAGGGTAGAGAGTACCTAAGCAGCAATTCAAATAAAACAAAGTCAATCTCATTTAATAAAACTAAGACTCTCAGAAGAACCAGGCCAAAGCAATACAAACCTAGCTTGCAAACAAAGGTAATAACCATCACATCATTCAGGAAGGTCAACAACATGCTATACACTACATGAGTACTGAATTTGGCAGCACTGATGACAAGGTTTAAAACCCTATTAGAATATTACCAAACCTTCTTTTAGCTCTGAACAAACAACACACTGTGTAACCCCACTCTTAAATTGTGCAAAGAATTTTAAGGACAGAAAGTCATAAAGAATATTCATTAAATTACCCTAAAGCATGACTGTTTCTTATTATGAAAATGGAAATATGCTCAGAGTAAAAAATTCAACCCACCAGAAAGAGTATACATTAAAAATACAAGTAGAAAGCGCCTGCCTGGCAAGCGCAAGGTCGTGAGTTTGGTTCCCGGTACCAGAGAAAAACCAAAAAACAAAAACAAAAACAAAAACAAACAAACAAACAAAATACAAGTAGACTAGACCTCTAGTCTTATTCTCCAAGGAATTCTATCTATAGTTCCTTATATATAGGTGTGAAGAAATTTTGTATGTAAGTAGTAAATATACACTTCTTAAAACACAAAAACACACTATCATATACTTTTATATTATTTTTCTCAGTTAACAGTGTATTTTTCCATATCTGCATTGCTGGATCCACCTCATTCTAAGAGCTGCAAAGTATTACATTGTATAAACGGATTTATTTAACCAGACCTCTGTTGAAGCATGTCTAGGTTATTTCCAGTTTTTATTTTTAATGTTAAACAGTATTGTAACAAATATCTTCTTATGCAAATTTTGTGTGCAAATGCAAACAGATGTGAAAGATGAATTCCTAAAAGTATTGCCTTCTATTAGAATTAATAAATTCTAAATAAGAAGCCAGAATATCCACAAAGGAGACCAGAAAAAAATTACAAGTTAAATGCTCAGTGATTAAAAGGTGCCAAACATCACAAATTTAAGGTTTTAAAATTATTTTTTAAGGTTTTGAAAATTAATAAACAGCTGAATTAGGAAAAGTGATAGAGAGACAGACAGAAACAGAGAAAATCTTTACTTCCTGGACAGAAAGTTTTATATAAAGGGCTGATGAATCACCTAAGAAACAAAAGAAGAAAAGAAACATGGAAAGGAGGAGAGAGTAGGGAAAATGGAAAGAAAACAGCCGTTAGGCCTGGTGGCACACGCCTGTAATCCCAATTAAAAAAAAAATAAAAGTACATCATGTTTTGATGTAGTTCAATCCCCAGTACCAGAAAAAGGAGGGCAAGGAGGAGGACAAAGAGAAAGAAGAGTAGGTGTAGGAATAAAAGCCACGTGTAGTGACACACGCCCATAATTCCAGCACTCAGGAGGCTGAGGCAGGAGGATCACCGAGTTTGAGGTCTGCTTGGGCTACACAGTGAGACTTCGTGTCAAAAAGAAAACAAAACAAAACAAGAAGAAGGAGGAGGAAAAAATGAGTCAAGATAAAGAAAGAAAGAAAAAGACACTTTGGGGGCCTCTTGCTTAAACCTAAGGCACAAAATATAATTGATCAATAGATCTAGAATACAGCCAAACTTGGATGCTACATGATTTAAATGACTGTCTGAGGCCTAATTTTTTGTTGTTGTTGTTGTTTTTTTCCAGTACCGGGAATCGAACTCACGACCTCCCGCTTGCCAGACAGATGCTGTGCCGTTGAGCTAAATCCCCAGCCTTAAGGCCTAATTTTTAGAGGGCATCAACAGATTTATTTTTACTAGAATAAAAAGTATTGAAAGGGGATCTCCCCAAAGGAAAGCAGAACAGTAAACCTCCACAAACAACAAACCCAGGCAATCTCTTGATTTGACAAGAAAATAGTAACAATTGTCTTATACATACAAAACAAACCTCTTCGGAAGGTTCTGATTAAAACATGAAGAGATTCAGGCCTATATTTTTCAATTACATTTCTGAAATTTCCTTTGCCCATCTAAGGCTATTCCAGCATTTCACCTAACACAAAACACAGTCAACAACTTACCTCTCCCAAAGTGCTAGGATTTGCATGCCACAGTACAAATTGATTCATGGTTTTGTCCATTAATGGTCTGTGGGTTTCTTTACATGAAGTCCATGTTGGAATCCATAGATCTTAGTGCTCTGTAAAAACTGAAAACCTCAAAAATGTCAATGTGCATATCTAGGTTACCACTTGGTTAACAATTCCTTATGAGTAACAGTTATACTATAGAGATACTTAGATGTGCCAAGTTAGTGAATGTGACATTAAAAAGCAGATTGAGATGGCAAAACTAGACTAAGACACTAACAACCTTGATGACTGCAAAACATTATTTTTAATAATATTTATATGTACATTGAACATGATACCATAATAACAGCATAAAGAAATGGGGGTTACTTAGACATCAGGATTTTCCAGAAACTCAGAAGATTTAAAAGTAGGCAAAAGTGTAAAATTTAAATAGTACAATAATGTATTTACATATCTAGTTTTGAACTTTTCAACCTATTTGAAGAATATCCTAGGTTTTAAATTTAAAAACGCATACTAATTTCTTCTTTGTAAACACACATACACACACAACACAACAATGACATAAATTTAAGGTCTCCCACCCCACTCTACCCAGTCTAATTAGGGGTCTGGAACTTCTCAAGAGCTTCTATGTCATTAGATTGCCCATATACATCATCACCTCACTGGGACTATATATAGGTAATGATTCATGGCCAGATCTCATTCCATAGCTTTATGCATCATCTATACTTTATTCCATTTGATAACCAAAACCCACTTGGCTACAACACTTGGTTTTTGTTTGTTTGTTTATTTTGTTTTGTTTTTGTTTTTCTGTCTTTTTGAGACAGGGTCTCACTATGCAGTTCAGGGGGGCCTTGAGCTCACTTTGTAGCCCTGGCTGGTCTCGAACTCACAACAATCCTCCGCCTCAGCCTCCCAAGTGCTGGGAGTACAGGCGTGCGCCATCACGCCTGGCTCAACACTTGTTTTTTAAAAGCATGCTCCCTCTTTATTACATTTAAGATGCTTTTTACAAAGGAAACCCATAATCTTTAAGGAGTCATTATTTTAGGGTGTGTCCTACAACTGCTTCTTATGTGACATGCGAGGTGAAACTTCTGACTAGATTTTTATAACTCATTATTCCACTTCTGCTATGAAATAATTCTCATTTACACTGCAAATGTAAGCAGTATCTCACTATGAAAAAAATTAAGAAAAAGTTTATACTGCTAAAAGTACTTAAGACATCAATCAACAGCTCAGTGCATTAAAACTGCACCTTATCATTTGCTGACCTCCCTAGTACCACTCGTCTACTAGACGTTCTCCCCAGAACAGTAAAAGAACCTGAAAGAAATCAAATACAGTAATCGCCTTATCCTGTCCACCCAGAGAAAAGTATTTGTAAAGTTCATTAACTGTACACATTTGTAAAGTTCATTAACTGTAACACATACACACACACACACACACACACACACACACACACACACACACACACACACACGCCGTCCTGAATCTCTCCTGCACCAGAGGACTGGAGTCACTTCTACATTCTGAGGCTGGGATACTGAGATGTGGGAGAAGTTCCTCCGCCAAGCCACAGTCGCCTTCTTTCAGCGACGCGTTCATTCCTTCCACAACGTCTTTAGACGTTCATAGTGGCAAGGTACAGGCAGTCTAAGGATTAAGCGATGCAAAAGTCGAAGTCCCCGTCCCTTGCTTCCATAAGGGGTCGGGGTGGGTGAGAAGTGAGCTCATCTCTGAGCTTGTTCTCCCCACATCCTCCTGCCAGAACCGACCGATTCCAAGAAGACCAGAAGACTGCCTTTCCTGACAGCCCTCGTCCCCCACGATCCGCTACCAAGAGTTCCCCGCGACCCTATGCCCTCAAAGAGTAGTCTCGAGCCAGGAAGCCTCCCTCCAGTCACCATCTACTGCGTGAGCCACCTCTCTCGGCCCGAATTCAGGGCCTGGAGCGACCTAGGTCATCGATCCCAGCTCCCACCTCCACCCGCATCCCGGCGCGGCCCGCAGGTTACCTGCGGAGGATCGAAGGCTCCCAGCTCACCACAAACACCGCGCCCCTCCCACTACGACTCCCTCTGCCACTAGGTGCCGCCTCCACGCGTAACTTCCTGTGCGTCGCTTCCGACCTGAATCCTGTCCCTCCCCGCAGTCCAGCTAGGAGCGCGACTCCTGTTTGGTGACGTCACTTCCGCTCTGTTCTCTGGTTCTCCCACAGTTCCTAGGCGCACCAGATCTTGTTTGTGTGTTTCTGTTATCCCTGCGAAGTGTGCCCTTCAAACTTCTTCGCCAGCTTTTACAGCCTTCCCTTCTGCAGCTTGAACTTTCCCTGATTTGAATTTAAACATGGTACCCCCAAATTAGGACAGTCTCTGGGGGAGATCATAAGATTATTCTTCTGGTTTTCCTGAACACTCTGTCCAGAGGAGTGTTTGGGAATGCAGGTTCTGAAGTTGCGCTGTCTGGTTTCAAATGCTACCTTCCTCCTTTCTAACTGTCAGGCAAGTTACTCAACTTCTTGGTGCTTGTTTGAAGTATGAAACAATACATACTAGTACCTACATACTAGGTTAATTGGATGATATCAATGTAGGGCGGTTGTATCACTTGAGCTAATACAATGCAGGCACTCAGTGAGTACTAACTGCTACATTTTTCTCTCTTATGAACTCTCTTGCTCCTTACTGGAACATCCACCTGGAAGGGATTCTGGAACCAGGTTTTAATTCAGTGATGAATTGATGGTTCCTGGTACCCTCCTCTTCAGAGCTGTGAGCTCTTCCAGACATGGAACCACAAATAGGAATCAACTTTAACCCCACCTGAAAGCACCTGCTTATTGTGTGAGGTACTGGGGGAAAAGATGAATACAACCAATGCTCAGCCCTCAGAAGTAGAGGTGCTCAATAAATGGTTATGGAAAGAAGCAAACTTACAAAAAAAGGAGATGAAGGGACCAATTAAACGAGGATTGATCTTTAGGACAAAAAAATTACAGAATGATAAAGCTGAAATGAAGTTTAGAGACCATATGGTCAACCTCCTTCCCTTCACGTAAGGAAAATTGGATCCAGAGAAGTGACAAAAAGATGACCTTTAAAATGCTCATCATCTGCCCTTGTTTCCCAAATCTGCCTCGAGTTTACTTTCAAGACCTTCACTCTCAAATACAAAGGGATAGAAAAATATTCATACCAGAGAGATAAGGGCTAAATAACCTGACGGATGCCGCACAATTCTAGTGATCTTTGAATGTTCTGGGGTGGCCACTGCTGGGTTCATGTCAAACAGTCCTGTTCATTTCAAACAGTAGCCCTCCTCCCCTGGCAAACTTCTCCTATGGGCCCAATCAGTAGACACTGAGTAAGGCTGGAGGCTTTAAGAGTAAAAAGGCCGAGGTAAATATCCTGAGTAAATGGAAGTTCTGCTTCCATACAGTCTTTAAATTTGAGCTGCAAGATCAGTTCTCATGAGTCTCCAGCCTGCTGGTCTACCTGCAGATTTTGAACTCACCAGCCTCTATAATTATATGATCTATTTCATTAAGATAAATCTCTACTAACTAATCATTTGACCTTAAATGACTTCACCTCTCTGGGACTAAATTTAAAGTCTTTCCTGAACAAACCTTGTATTGTTCTGTTTAGTGGAAGAAATGCAAAATATTCACCACTATGACCACTAGATGGCAGTGATAAGGTGTTCTGCTCTCCCTTCCCCTCCTCTCCTCCCCCTCCTCCCTCTAACCCTCCCTTCCTCCTTCTCTTCCTCCTCCTCTTCCTTCTTCCTTTCTTTCTCTCCTTCTCTCTCTTCCTTCTTTTACTTCTCTCTCTCCCTCTCTTGTCTCTTCCTTCTCTCTCTCCCGTTCCCCTCTCCCTCTCCCTCTCCCCCTCTCTCCTGTTACAGTGAGATTCAATGAGATAGGTACAAGAAGCCAAAAATGTGGGAACAAACAAAGCTTTATTGAAGAGTGCAACCAACACCACTGACCAAGAGTCAAAAAAAGCAAGATATCAGTGACCAGAGAGCTTTGTGCTGAGTTTTTATACTTTTACAAGTAACTATGGTAACCATATTACTTCATTTAGGAATTTTACAAAAGTACTACATCATGGTCACAAGATTTACATTTCCCAGGGGTTTGCTAGTAGGGTTAAATTTTCACTTGGCTGCAGTTTGCTTTAACTGTTTGTTTCTCATTTTATAGCTCTGTTTTCCTCTTGTTAGCTATAAGGGAGGGAGTAGAGAATTGAGGTCATCTAAAGTTTAAGTGACTTCTAAAATGGAGTTACAAAAAGAAAATGGAGTTTGTCTTGCCGTATCATTCCCACCTCAAGGACATATTTTCCTCTCTCAGGACATATGTAGTCCTTTCAGAACAGGCAAAGGTTCAGGAGGCCTCCAAAACATGATCTCAAATGGAGTGAGCTCTATCCTAGTACAGGGTACAGCAAGATTGCAGTAGGGCCATTGGAAGCATAGTCACCCAGTTTGCCCCAGTCTCTTGGTGAAGCTTGACTAGGGTGGTCTTTAAAGTCCAATTCTGAGCCAGGCATGGTGGTGCATGCCTGTAATCTCAGCACTCTGGAGGCTGAGATAGGAGAATCATTGCAAGTTTGAGACCAGCCTGGGCTACAAAGTGAGCTCAAGCCCAACCTGAACTGCATAGTGAGACCCTGTCTCAAAAAGACACACACATAAAGTCCAATTCTGTGTCTCTACCTAGCCAGAACTCTGTGGCTAGTAGGTAGTGTGTAGCTTCCATTTTAGCCTTAAGGCTGTGGAAAGGCTCTGAACCACTTGACCCATGAAACAGGCCCATTATCAGAACCTACCATCATAGGGAGCCCTTACCCAGTCATGTTTAACTCCATCAGGGCTTTTATCAACTCTCTGGATGTCTCAGTCCTTGTGGGTATGGCCCCCATCTAGCTCGAGTAGGTGCAAATGAGGACTAACAGATACTTCTTGTTTCCACTTGTTGATTTCTGTAAAGTCCACCTTGACATCCTCAAATGGCAGTGTTGTCTCCAGACTCCAGGCTGTTGCTGTGAGTGAAAAACTGGACTGTTGTGAGTGCAAGCTGCACATGTGCTTTGCCACAGAAATGCATAAGATCTAAAGTCTAGATATATAGAAGTGACAGCCAAGCAGCTCTGCCATGGCTGTCTCTCCCAAGTGAATACAACTATGCAGTTCCTAGATCACAAAATGTCCTACAGCCTTAGGAAGGAACACCTTCCCACCTGGAAAAAATTTCCATCCATTTTGTTCTGTAATGATGGAGACCACTGCAAAGTGGCTCTGAGCAAGATTTAATATGAAGCAATTGACTTTCCTTGTTTACTGGTGAGTTGTCCGAAGCTTAGGTACCTTGTCTAAAGATGAGCAGCAGACTCATTGTAAATGAACCTCTGTGAGTCACTGGTCACCGCTGAGGCCTGTATTGGCCTGTGAAGCTGTGATGCCTCAAAGGAGAAGATAAGGCCACAGCTGAGGACGTCTGGCTCTAACCACAATTAACTTAAAGGAGACTATAGCTGCAGGCTCCATACTCCTATAATAAATACCAGTCTAAACATAAGGTAGTTATGGTTTGGTTCTGGATGTCCTCCCAAAGCCTCATGCAATCATGGGGCCGGTTTCTGGAATTTATGATTGATTCATGGGTGTGAGTGCTACACCTGCCCTGGGGCAGATAGTTTGCATAGGTAAGGGAGAGAAAGAGGCTGCTTGCTGCCACTCCTTCCTTTTGCTGTTGCTGCTTTTGCTATCCTCTGCCACCATGAATGGTTGCCCTGTGCTATGTGCCACTCTGCCTTGGAGCCAGCCAAATCTCCACAAACTGTGAGCTAAATCAACCTTTCTTTCCTCAATTTTGGGTGTCAGGTATTTTGTCTCAGCAATGAGAGAAAAGTAACCAAGATGATCAGCATAATTGACTACTTGGGAAAATTCTCCCAAGGTCCTGCTCAGGTTCCCGAGTTTTCTTGAGTATCCCCCTCCTTTGTTTGAGAACCAAATAAATACAGGCTGCCCAGAGAAGTCTTTGTCTAAACTCAAGAATATTGAAGCTGTAAGAGAGTTAGGCCCTCTGGGAGCCCTGAAATCATTTCAGTTGTCTCATTTATTTAAGCCTTCACCATCCACTCGCATGGGAGATTGTGGGCCTGATCAGCCTGTAATAACTAAGGGTTATTTAACCTGATACTATAGTCCCCTCTGTTGTGACTCACTTCAGTTCTGCTTCTGAATACTTGGGTGGTTTGAGGAGTGAAGCCACTAGAGCTCGGGCTACAGGGTATGAGTCTCCAACAGCAGCTTGTTTTGCTGCTAGATCAGGTGCTCCATTTCCTTGGGCCTCTAGAGAATTGTCTTTCTGATGGCCCAGATAATGGATCATGGCTACCTTAGTGAGAAGCAAAACAGCCTGTAGCAAGTTTAATATCTCCTAAGATTTTTGAATGTCTTTTTCTCCCGTGGCTAGGATGCCTCTTTCCTGGTGGATGGCGCCATGTACCTGCAAAGTGGTGAAGGCCTACAGGGAGTCAGTAGAGACATTCACTTGCATGTCTTTTCCTATCTCCAATGCCCAAGTAAGAGTCATCAGTTCAGCCTCAATTCAGCCTTTTGTGCCCATGTTCCAGGAGGCAAAGCCTTGGACCACAGAGGCTACTCTAGGGTGACAACCACTGCCCCCCCCAAAATCCCATCGATTACCACCTTATTGCCATCTGAAAACAGGGTCAGGTCAGGGCTCTGGAGGGGTGTGTCCTGTAGGTCAACTCTGGCTGAGTAGACTGCCTTGGTTGTTTTCACATAGGCGTGCTCAGGTGGCTCCAATGATGTTGGTAAAAGGAAGGCAGGGTTGAGGGTCATCAAGTCCCCTTAGTAAAGTACATTTTCGTTTCCCCCTCTGGATCTTCTCACCCAAAAGTGAACAACTCTTGGGATGCAACAGACAAAGGAATATAGAGAAAAACATCTTTCAAATCTAACACAGTATACCAAGTCCAAGTTGGTGGGAGTAGACTAAACAAGGTATAGGGGTTGGGTACACTTGGGTGAAGGATTATAACCATGGCATTTACTACCCACAAGTCCTAGACTGG